CAGGTGTGGACCCCTGTGGTTGACCCCCTTGATTCATACCCAGTGTTCTCAGGTGTGGACCCCTGTGGTTGACCCCCTTGATTCATACCCAGTGTCTTCAGGTGTGGACCCCTGTGGTTGACTCCCTTGATTCACACCCAGTGTCCTTAGGTATAGACCCCTGTGGTTGACCCCCTTGATTCACACCTGGGGTCCTGAGGTGTGGACCCCTGCGGTAGACCCATTCTGTTCACACTTGTATTTGTTATATGTGGACTTGTAGGGCCAGGATTCAGGGACATGGGTGACCCAGCTGGAGGCTATTGTGCTGTGCAATACAGTTTTGACCCACACAGAATATATGTGAAGATGCCTTGTCCTCAGCTGAAACTCCAGTCACCCGGCTCCCACCTCTAGGCAGGATCTCGGTTCTGACAGCCTCTGGTGCCTGCACCTTCCCAGTCTGTGGAAAGCTCCCTACTTGTCACAGGGAGAAAACTTGAGGAACAAATCATCTCTATTGATTAGTGAGTCAGGGGCACTCTTGGCCCCTTGGATGGAATGTGGCCGAATCTGAGGGACGCTGTGTGTCTCATAGAAGTCCCCCTTGTGGTTCTGAAGGCAGCAACTGAGAGCAGCCATCACTCCACCAACGTTAGTCCTTTGCTGTCTGATTCAGGTTTCAGGGCCTTGAAAACACAGATTAAAGGTAAAGAGATAGCAGGAGGCATCGTAATACACCATGCTGATCCTATCAGAAGACCCCAGGACAAGCTGTGTTAATTTCAGTCAGCGCAGGCTTCGGAATAAGAAAATGATCAGGGAAGGAGTGTGGGCACTGCACAGCAATAATGAGGTCCGTTCTCCAGGACAGCTGGACAACCCTAAATGTGAGTGCAACTGAGAGGTGTAATATGTGGGTCAAGAACTCAGACCTAGAAAAAGAACAAGGCAAATCACTGTTCCTGTTGAGGCAGAAAAGGAGTAAGGACTTGGTTGAACTGAACGGCACCAGCAGTTTGTTGGTTCTGACCGACAGTTACAGTAACTCCATCCCAGGACACAAACTCTGCCCAGGCTCACACGGGACGTGTACCGGGATGGACAATATTCTGGGTCATAAAATACACCTTAACACCTTTGAAATTACAGAAGTCATTCAAAGCATTCTCTCAGTCTATAATTGAATCAAATTAGAAATAAATCAGTAACCAAAAGGTAACTGAAAAATCCCAAAATATTTAGAGATTAAACAACACACTACTAAATAACACACAGATCAAAGAAGTCGTCACAGAGGTTTAAAAAAATACTTCAAAGAAAATGAAAAAGGAAAGTACATCTCATCAAATCTTTCGAGATGCAGGAGAACAGTCCTTACAGGAAATTCATAGTGTTGGACACACAGGTTATAAAAGAAGAAAGACACAAAGTCACCAAGCAAAACTTCTACTCCGGGAAACTAAGAGCCAAGATGAGCCAGTTAAATCCAAAGTAAGCAGATGGAAAGAAATAATAAAAAATTATAGCAGGAATCAATGAAATTGGAAACAGATCAATAGAGAAAATTAACACAAGCAAAAACTGGTTCTTTGAAAAGATCAATGAAGTTGATAAATCTCTAGGGTAAAAGAAAAATTACACAAATTCCTAATATCAAAAAAGAAAGGAGTATTACTATGCACAACGTTGGTAATAAAAAGATTATAAAGGAATGCTATGAACAGGTCTGTGCCCACACACTTGATAACATAGATGAAATTGACCAAGTCCTTGAAAGATACCATCTGCCAAGACTCAGAGAGAAAATCTGAGCAGGCCTGCATCAGTTAAAGAAATTGAACCAATAGCTACGTAATAATAACCTTTCAAAACTGAAAGCACCAGGTCCATATTGTCTCACTGGTGAATTTTACCAAACATTTAAGTGGCCAAAAAATGATCTCAGTTCTCTACAGTTTCTTCCAGAAAATAGAGAGGGAATACTGCCTAATTCATTCTGTGAGGCCACCATAACCCTACAACCTAAACCAGAAAAATATGCTGTAAGAAAGACAGTGTCTCAAGCCAGTGTTTCTCAGAAACATCGCTGCAGAGGTATTCAACAAATTATTAGTAAATTGAATCCATTGTATGAAAATAATTATATACCATAACCATGTGGGATTTATCTTAGGTTTGCAAGGCTCGTTCAACATGTGAAAATCAATCAATGTAATCTATTATATCTAAGACTAAAGAAGAAAAATCACATGATTATATCAAGAATGCAGAAAAAACATTTGATGAAATTCAGTTCTCGTTCATGTATTATAGCAAACTAGGCATGGGGGGGTGTCCTCGTCTTGGTAAAGAACATCTCCAGAGACCCCCACTGCTAACATCATACTAAATGGTCAAAAACTAGATGCTTTCCCCGAAGACTGGGAACAAGATGAGATGCACCATCACCATTCCTGTTCAGCATTGTACTGGAAGTTCTAGTTAATACAGGAGTAAATGGTATACAGATTGGGAAGGAAGAAGTAATACTGTCTTTCTTTACAAGTGATAGTGTGGTCTATGGTGAAAATACTAATGAAATCAACAATAAGGAAAAAACTTCTGGAACTTTGAAGTGACCGAAGCAGGGTTGCAGAATACAGAAGTCAGTGGCTCTCTTGTATGCTGGAAATGAACGATTGGAGTTTGAGATTAAAAACACAACAGCATTTACAGTAGCACCCCATCCCCCAAAATAAGGTATAAATCTAGCAAGATATGTCCTACATACAAGGTCTGTATGAGGAAAACTATAAGATTCTGATGAAAGAAATAAAAGAAAATTTAAGTAAATGGAGAAACATTCCATGTTCATGGACAGGAAGGCTCTGCATGTTTAAGTTCTCCCCAGCTTGGTTCACAGTCCCACTCAAGACTGGGTGGTGGGACAGGCTGTGGAGGACCGAGAGGGCTCACTTCCCTCCAGAACTCCAGGGCATTTCCTGGAGGGCCTCTGGCCCTGTTGTCCGGGAGGGGTGGAAACCACTTTTCTGCTTTCACTCTCAATAAAGAGTTTGATGATGAAAGGTTAAATCACTTTGTAAGTGTAAATTAGAATAGAAAATGTAAATTCCCTGTATGTTCTCTAAGCAATCAGAAAGAAGGCAGAGATACAGGAGGGACAATATTCTGGGTCATAAAATACACCTTAACACCTTTGAAATTACAGAAGTCATACAAAGCATTCTCTCAGTCTATAATTGAATCAAATTAGAAATAAATCAGTAACCAAAAGGTAACTGGAAAATTTCCTGCAAACTATAGGTAAAACCCAAATTTAGGACATGTTGGGTAGTTTAGGGTCATCCCAGGCTTTAGTTACTATATTCAGTTATAAAGCTCTTATGTTTTGATTAAAGGACTTCTTGGTGTGAGTTTGGCAGTTCACATCTGGTTCCTGCCGATGCCCACACCCTCCTCCGACTGAGAGATTGAAATACTTACTGTTGAAGTGGAGACCAGTGGCAGATGGATGCCACAAGGCCACGAAGGGCGCGGCTTCAGTTTTCAGGCCATCTTCGTTAAAAAGCAAAAACATGTCAAGTGGAATTTTAAAAACCATTCCAGATTCAGCTTACTGCAGTTTCATGATATCCAGCACATTGATTTCAACACAAGAGTTAAGTGCAAACTCCTCCTGAGGCACAGTGAGGACTCTGGAGACTGAGCCAAGGTTCGATGGACCTGTCTCCTTCCCCTGCATTCCCCTGACAGGCACGGCCAGGGGCACAGGACGCAGGGACGGCTGCACTGCACACAAGCTGTCTGCACACCAGCTCAAGCCTTCCATGTCAGCCTGCTGCCATCACCTGGTCAGAGAGATCGTGGATAAATTAGTGAAGTAAACATGCTGCTTTCTGAGTTAGTGATTATAGGTTTATATTTTATAAAGACATTTTAATGAAACCATGGTTAAATTGCATTTTATCTTGAATTCTCTGGAGTTGGATAATGATACACATATGCTAGTGTTGGAGTACTTTGTCTTAGTGGTCACCTGATTGATAAAATGTGAACAGACATCCTAAATTATGCCTTACGTGAGTTTTATTTCTAGTACTAAACATTGGATAAACTTAGCATGTGGTAGGGTAAACACTGCCCAAACTAGAATCTAATCTAAATGACGCGTCTTTGTTTTCCATTTGTGCAGTACACATTTTGGAACTTCGTACCCAAGAATTTATTTGAACAATTCAGAAGAATAGCCAACTTCTATTTCCTTATCATATTTCTGGTACAGGTAAGGCATCTTGTTAAACACAAATGTAGTAAGGATGTTTTATTCGTAGGTGGGTGCGTGCTGTTTGCTAAGGAAAGTGCGAATTTGCTGCCCCTCTTCTCCAGCTCAGTCATTGATTTTCGTAAGGGCAAACAACCTAAAAGACACAGGCGGTCGCCCTGTGCCTGTGTTGGTGGCCACCACCTTTCTCACTCTCCTTCATTGCTGCGAGGCATCAGGAGCTCTGTAATCGCAAAGTTCACAGCCAAGCGACACATCGCTACACTTACCTACACTCTTCCAGGTGTGTGGGGATGCGCCAGAAAAAATTCAGAGAAGTTATCCACCAAAAGACAGTTCAGAAAAAAGAAGGGAAGGAAGGAATAAAGAGTAAAAAACCCAGCAAGGGCGTGAGTTAGGGAACACTAGGGTGGACACGTTTTAAGAACAGCAACCTAATTTTTCTGAATCACACAAAATACAGTTGAAGACTTTTAAAATCTCCCCAACTAATTGAATTATCCAGATGATAGGATTAAAGTAAGACATCAGGCTGGGGTGGCGTCAGGCTGTATCTGCTGCTTGGCAGCCTTGGTTCTTGAAATGCCCCCTTTAATTAAAGAAAACTCTCCCCACTTTAAACTCAGTGAAGTGAAACGACTGACTTACTGTCTAAGTTACCTCTAGTGTTGGATATAGTGGGGTGCCCACAAAGAGGTTTTTTGTTTGTTTGTTTGTTTTTGAGACAGAGTCTCACTTTGTCACCCTCAGTAGCATGCCATGGTGTTATAGCTCACAGCAACCTCTAACTCCTGGGCTTAGTGATTCTCGTACCTCAGCCTCCCAGTAGCTGGGACTACAGGTGCCCTCCGCAACACCCGGCTCACAGCAACCTCTAACTCCTGGGCTTAGTGATTCTCATGCCTCAGCCTCCCAAGTAGCTGGGACTACGGGTGCCCTCCACAACACCTGGCTACTTTTTGTTGCAGTTTGGCCAGGGCCAGGTTTGAACCCCCTGCCCTCAGTATATGGAGCCGGTGCCCTGCCCACTGACTGAGCTACAGGCGCTGCCCTTTTCTTTTTTAGGCAGAGTCTCTGTTGCCCAGTCCATGACATCATAGCTCACAGCAACCTCAACCTCCTGGATTCAGGTGATTTTTCTGCCTCAGCCTCCCGAGTGGCTGGAACTATAGGCACCTACCCCGATGCCTGGGTAATTTTTCTATTTTCAGTAGAGACAGGGTCTCACTCTCACTCAGGCTAGTCTCAAACTCCTGAGCTCAAGAAATCCACCTGCCTCAGCCCTTCAGAGTACTGGGATTACAGGCGCGAGCCACTACCCAGCCACTGCATAGAATTTTAAATAAATAAATAAAGGAAAGGCTAAATGGTGGCCGAGGACAAGCAGCCTGCCTGCAGTCGCAGTTCGTGCTCCGAGGCTGATTCTGCCCTTGTCTTTGTGCTGCAGCTGATCATCGACACGCCTACGAGCCCCGTCACAAGTGGCCTCCCGCTCTTCTTTGTCATCACCGTCACTGCTATCAAACAGGTAAGCGCGTCGCCCACGAGAAAGAAAGCCGCTATCTCTGCTGTGTGAGTTTCCTTTTATTCAAAACAAGGGAATCTGACTTGTTTTAGTAGTTTGTGGAAGATTTAAGTTCTAAAAGTTCATTTTTGTAGCTGTTTTGGATTGGTACTTGAGCTGAAATGGGAGATGCCTTAGAACTTGAGTTGCTGGTTCGGTGCCTTTGAATTTAAGAGGAAAATTACGGTTTTCACATTCTAGATCAACCACAGGTGACTCCTGCTGTGGACCAGTCGCTTCCTGTTTCTGTCCCCCAGGAGTCGTGACCTGGAGCTCCCTCCTCCAGGCCCCTGCAGTGGGCTTGCTCAGGGCTGTCCTGTGTCTTTCTAGTTCTGATAAACAAAGCCAGCTTCTGACATTGAGAAGAGTGTCAGTTTCTCCCACCTCTGTTTATCCAGTTTAGTGGCTGAACTTCACTGTCTAGTCCCAGAAAACGTTTATCACCCAAGAGGAAATTCCATGCCCATGAGCAGCCCCCAACCCCGCCCTTGTGAGCAGCCCCCACCCCCCACCCCGTGGGCAGCCCCC